CTATACTGTTTCTTCCAGATATTTTTTTGTAAAATTCTGAAACATACATGTAGAGATGCGGAATTCTAAGGAAAATCCTGTAAGATAGTTGAAAATTTCCCTGAAGTTGTATTAAAAAATTATCACCAGTGTTTTTTTTGTTTTTGTTGTCTTGACTGTTGCAGCTATATAATCAAGTAAATGTTCTTCCTCAAAATTTTATAGATATTGAAATAATCTGTCTTTCAACATGGTAGGGATTAGTTTTATAATTAAGAAACAAGAAAAAATGTACTGAGATTTAGTGCAATATCTTTTGGGACACTTATTAATATTGAAAATATAAAATCAAATGTGATAGTAAAATTTGAAGTACTGCCTCGTAAGATTAGCAAAAATACATATCAAGAATATATTTTGATTAATTGTTGTTCATTTGGAAGACATTATTCCTCTCTGGGACGTTTCTAAAGATTAATTGTCTATCGATACTATGCAGTATTCTAATAAAATCTCTAAAATGATTTTGATTCCTGTAGATATTTGACTAAACCATCAAATTTTTAATACGTTCATTTTCTAGAAGCATCAAGTTCTCGAAAACTCGTATTTTTGGAATTTTGATCTGAAACATAAGAGATCTTCAACATATAGATACTCTTCAATGGGTAATGTGTACAACATTATATCTCGAAGAGACTTTAGTCAAAACTGTTGAATAGCTTTACGGATGTTACTCCAGTTGAGTTTTTCATATGCACGAAGTTTCAGATCAAAATTTGAAAATGTCGCATAGTAAAATTCCAATAAAAACTAAAATACTTTCAGAGTTTTTATTATAAGAGGAATATTTCTGAATGGTTGAACTAGATGGAAGAAATGTTCAGTTTGATTATTTCATTCTTCGTATAATATAAGTAACTTTGAAATTTAAATTCACTAATGATCATTATTTAATATGAAATTATTGTTTTTGTTTTTCTTCTGAATATATTTAAACATTTATCGTGTCCGTAACAAAATAGAAATCGAATAACAACAAAAACATCAACAGAAAAAAATAGACTCATATAGAAACAAAGAGGAGATTGCTAAAGCCAATGGAAAAAACAACATCTTCACGTTGAAATATTGTCATTAGAATCACTATCAATATCTAGTAAACGAGCTTTCTGTTCAATTATTCTTGTATCAACACAAAATTCATTTGAATCTGGTTTTGAATTAGGTAAAAGTAAACAAAACATTAATGCTACGGTGGCAAGTAAAGCACCAAAAAGAAAAGGAGGACCGGGAACATCACGACTAAGCGTTGATGAATAATTTAATTTTTCACTAATACGTATTGTTGTACGATTCGAAGATGTTGACATTGTTGATGCCAATGATGGTACTGATTCATTTAAATTAACATTAAATAAATAAAAAATAAAACCAAATAAAGCTGGACCAAGACCATTACATAAACCACGTACACCATTAACCATACCTTGAACAAGACCTAGAACAAAAGCAATAAAAAAAAAAGAAACAACTCTAGATATTTTCTTACCTTGTTGATTATCTTTAGCATAAACAGAAACAAATGCGCTTATGGATGGATAAGTAACAGATGATAATGCAGCTAAGCCACCAGCAAACCACATAACCCTAACATAGAAAATACTCATTTAATTAAAATTTTATGTTTTCTTTTTTTTTTTTATCCTACCAATTTGATGTAGCTATACCATAAGCGGCTAATTGAACAATTTGAAAAAATAGTCCAACCATAATTGTTTCTTTTGAACCAAAATAGCGTTGTAAACAAGCTAATAAAGCTGTCTAAAGTTAATAGAATTATTAATTTTTGCAAAAAAAAAACAAGTATTCTTTACTTGAGCAATACATGATAAAATACCAACGAATGCAATGAAATAAGCTATTTCATCTTCTGAAAATCCAAGCATCTATAAATAAAGACACATAAACTTAATTCTTGGAAGATACAGTAAGTACCAAAATTATTCAACAACATTCATTTTTAGTTTTGTTTCGTTATCATAAGCGTTCGAAAGAATACAAATAGTAGAAAAAGAATAATTTCAAACAAAATTCTAAGGAAAAAAAAATTATTATCAAATTTGAAAAGATAAGAATTTCACAAAAAACAAAACTCTAGTTTTTCAACATCAAGAGTGTGTAATCAAAATTATATTTTCGCTATATAGGATAAGTGAGACATCGCCGAGTTCTCTGCAATGTTTCTTGACTGAAATACAAAAACTTCATTGAAGAACAAAAAATGGTTTTGCCTACAGGAAATTGAAAATAAACGACTTTAGAGGCTTCCGTAAGATGGCTGTATCTCAGCTAAAAAAAAGTCACAGAGAACTTGGGATGTTTCATTTTCTAGAGAATTATTTGTACTCTATCACTTGATATAGTCTAAACAAAATTATAACTACAAGTTATAGCTGCTAGTTTTCTACTATTTGGATTCTTTCTAGCGTTTACTGCCGGCAGAAGAAAAAAATTGATAATAAATCTTGTTGAATTATTTTGGTAGTCACTGTATATAAACAACACTTACTAATCGTAAGTAAACAAAAAAACATGAATATTGTCCCGCTTCTATAAATAAATGAAATGAAAATAACTAATTAATTACACGTATAATATCTTACCGGGAAGATAAGATAAAAGGACAATAAGACAAATAAGACAAATAAAACGATCTTTTGTAATATTTCTAAGAGCCTAAAGATATCTTAATAATATATTAAAATGAATATGAATATGAAAACATACTGCAAATGGATCAATTTTATCCCAAGATACTTTTTGATCTGTTCTTAATCTCTCTGGTAATGATTCAGGTACAACAAAAAAGATAAATATTAAATCAAGAATAGCAACTACTGTACCTAATTAAAACAAAAAAAAACAGTAAATAAAAAAAAAAGAAGAAAAAAATTGACATACCAACTGCAATCACAAAATTTTCACTATAAAGCCTTGCTAAATGAGCACCAATAGCTGGACTTGTGATTAATGATGCAGCAAATGTTGCTGTTACTAGACCTAACATAAAAAATAATCATTCAAATAAATACACAGCAGATGGAATTACACATACCATATGCAGTACTTCGTGAATTTTCATCAGTAACATCCGCAACATATGAGTAAACAACACTGAATGTCACAGAAAAAAGACCACTGATACTAATTAATGCAAAATACCACCTAAAAAAAGATCAACATTAAATCCATTGTACTTCGGATCTGAAAAATTAACCGATGCAATATTTAGTTTTCAAATAGGTATCAATTAGTTTGAAAATTCACACAAGTAGAAACAAAATCGACTCGAAGATCAACTATCAATACTCCTCAGCTTAATAGATTAAATTTCTTTGAGCACGAGTTATTTTTCTTTTTTAATAAATTTGGTTGTATGATGTCATGATCAGTTTTACACTTAACTAAAACAAAATATTTAAGCAATTCTTTTAATTAACGTTCATTTGAAGCCAAAAGTTGCAATTTATGTAATGAGAAACAGGGAGAAAAAAAAATTTGTCTAAAAGTATTTTACTTACATTGGACTTATTTTCATTAATGGAATTGGGCAACATGTAAAAAAGACTGTAATCAATAAAAATGATTTTCGTCCCCATACATCCGAATAGGCACCAAGCAATGGTGAACTTAAAAATGTTAATAAACCTCTAAAGAAAAAAAACAACAAGAAATTGAACCTATAAAAAATGACATATCATTTTACTCACTTTACTCCATGAATGACACCATTCATTAGAAATGTATGAGTTGGAAATGTTCGATTGAGTGTCTAGAAACAAAAACAATGAAGAACAAATTAAAAATTTTTTAACGGAAGGAAAAAACCTGTAAAGTTTCTTACCGAAATAACTGGATTAGTAAGAAGACCCCATGCAAAAAATTCAAGAAATATTACGACGAGTCCATGATAAACACTTGGTTTACCAAAACCACCGGGCTAAAATAAAAAAAAAAAAAAACAAAATTTAAGAATAAAGATTATCCTAAAAACATTATTTTTCTTATATTTATCAAAAAAAAATAATAAATGATATACTTTAATTATTTTATATCGACTATTTTCAAATTTGACACGTTTTTCTCCATCATTATCAGTATATAGCGTTTCATCGAGATCGGTGACATGATCTGTCATGACCGATGACGGAAGACGCTGTAAATCGTTTGATACCACTATTGTCGCCAGTGAATCATTCACTTATGTATGCTTACACAAATCAATAGAACAGGGTAATAACGAAAATGAGCCAATAATACGACGAAAAAAAAAATTAATATTTCAATTTATATGAAAATATTGATATAGAAAAAGGAAGAACTATTTTATTTAAAATCATATATTCTATGCCATATAAAATATGATAATAAGCATAAAAAAATATGTATATACATTAATATGAAAAATCTTACCAAATTACTACGAGCAATATGATTACTAGCACTGGTTAAGCGACGACGCGTTTTTGTAACAATCATAAATATGTTTAGTCCAACCAGAGAACAAGAATATTTGTGAAATGCTCTTTTTTTCTTTGTTTCACTTCAAAAATGCTCGTCATATATTCTAGATCACACCTTCCTTCTCTATGACAAAAACTGTCTGCACACACACACCACCTGATATTAACTACAGCGACCCCGTAGAACAAGAGAAAGAAAAAAGAAAAAAGCAATTGGAAAATAAAATCTATGACTCATCAACATTTAGTTCTTCCTTAAGTCGCAGATTTCTATTGGAAATTTTTCTTGACTTATACAATAGTCTGATAGAGAGCGTTGGAGAAATCATATGAAACAAATATCTATAACCAATCGTCACATAGCAATAATCAATATTTTTTTTAAAGTCTCTTAATAATAAATAAAAAGCCTAAAAAACCAGTATTTAATCATTAATTTTTCATTTTTTTTTATGAATCATATAGTTTAGATTTGAGCATCTTCTTTTTGAAAGGATGCAAGTATGTTGTATATCTCGTTTAACTTCAAACACAATGAAACGTGCATGTCCTATTGTTCGAAAATTATTACAAGCAGGTTAAAGAAAAAAAAAATTATTTCAATTATAATCATTTAAAAACAAACTATCATATATTTATTAGAAAGTTTACGTACAACAAGTTTATTTCGTAGTTCATCAACAGGAACTGATCAACAAAACCAAAATAATGACAAAAAGAAGAATATAATAAATTTAATTTATATTCTTGGAGGATTAACAGGTGCTGGTATGATCTATTCAGTGGTATGTTTTTAATTTTGATTCATTGACGAATTAAATATGAATCGTTTAAGATTCGAAATCGAAAAATTTCTCGAGAAAAAGAACAAGCTCTTACAAAATATGATGATACGAATAAAACACTTGTTGAAAAAGTAAAAGATTTACAAGATCGACAATCACTTGGTAAGATCACTTTTTTGTTTTCATAAAGAAAAAAAAAATTATTGTGACTTTTAATCTTTATTAAGCTAAAGAAGAAGAAGATTCAGAGTTGATTAAAAAAGAAGAATTAACACCAAATATTCCTAATTTTGCTCAATATTTAATTATTGGTGGTGGTGCAACAGCTATGAGTGCATTTAAAACTATTCGAGCACATGATGCAACAGCTAAAGTTTATTTCATTTTCTTCATGGATTTATATTTCATCTTATTCTATTCAGGTTCTTGTAATAAGTTCAGAAGCCTATATGCCATATATGCGTCCACCATTATCGAAAGATATTTGGTATACAGATGATGAAGATCTTATACAAAAACATTCATTTAAACAATGGAATGGAAAAGAGAAAAGGTTTTTAAAACGATATTATATTTGTATTATTAAGATATTTTGTTTTTCTAGTTTATATTTTTTTGATAATGAATTTTATACAGATGTTAAAACATTGAATGAACAAGAGAATGGTGGTGTTGCAATTGTTCTGGGAAGAAAAGTAGGATGGAATATGAATTATTGAAAAAATAAAATCAATTTTATTAAAATAAAAAAAAATGTAGGTTACTCAATTGGATTTAAAAAATTCTGTAGCAAAATTAGATAATGGATGGGAAATATCATTTGAAAAATGTTTGATTGCTACAGGTGGACAACCAAAAACTATGAAAGTATTTCAAACAACATCAAATCGTTTGAAAAACAAAATAACACTTTATAGAGGAGTAAGTGTTATGTTTTTGCATTAAGTCAATTCTCTATATATTAGCAAATGAATGTCAAACCATTGTATGCTTCAATGAATATTTTTTCTTTTTCTTTTTTCTTGCGTTCTTTGCTTATTTTTTTTCTCTCTCTCTCTGAGCCTTACGCTGCCTGCATGTAATACAACGCAAATAGGAAAGTAAAAACAAATGTACAAACGAACCAGAATAAATGCTTGCATAAATAATGACGAGCATACAGGTCATATATATTACTTACTCTTTTCATGTTGTGTTGTACATCACACTAGCATTTCTTTTTTTTACATGATTTGCATCTACATATACAAATAGCTCATAAAAGAAAAATTATTTCAATGCTAAACGACTCAACATTATCGACTATTCTATTTCGTATTGAACATTTATTTGATGGTCAATCATCATCATCAAACAAAATGTTACCGAGAAATACTGAAAATTTATTTCCTATTTCAACATCAAATGATTTTCTTCCTGATCTTACTCTTAGTAATGATATTGTTGATGAACTAGATTGTTATCTAAAAAATGGTGATGATGTTTCTAATCGCAGCCATACATCATCACCATTAATTCCTCCATCATCTGTCTCATTAAAACAACAAACATCATCTAACTTTCAATTTATATTAAATGCTCTAACAGCATCATCAGCAAAAATTAATGAAGAAACAACAACTTATTTAAATCAAGATCAACCATATGAAATTAAATTTCATGTCAATAATACATCATCATCAGAAAATTTTCTTCCAACTATTTATCGTTCTATATTACGTTTATGTTTTTGGGATAAAATATTACAAAATCAAGAGCGTGAATTAGTGCAAAAATGGTTAAATGAATATAAATCAACATCATTATTTGATATTGATATGAATTTAACTTATGGAATTTTATCAATCATACGTGCAAGACAAATACCAAATGCTATTGAAATTGTTTGGGATGCATCTACAACAACATCACTATTTATTCGTTTCAAATGTACATCAACTGATTTTGCACTCAAACGACATGGTGGAGAAAAAGGTATACCATTACGTATACAAATAGATACATATCATGAAAATGATGTTAATGATATACAACATTTATATTCATGTTGTTGTAAAATTCAATTATTTCGTCTAAAAGGTGCGCAAAGAAAAAATAAAGCAGATAAAATGAGAATTGAAAAACTAAATATTGATCAACGTCGACATTATCAAACAACACTTGAACATACTGTTTTACAACCATGTGTTGTTTCACCACTTTATACACTTAATCTTCTTACTCTATCTTATGCACCGGATGATTTGTCTAATGTTGATACACAATCGACGATGACAACGGAAAATATCACAGAAGAAAAAAAAGATTGTGAAAATAATTTACAAGAAAATCGAAATAATAGTACTGGATATCTACCATCGCCTTTATCGGATATGAAACATACGTATTCTGACTTACGAAATACTGAAGTTCAAAAAGCAACAAAAATTACTGTACAATCATCATGTGAAGAAGTATTAAATTGGTTAAATAATAATAATTTTTCTTCGGTTATTAATCAATTTCAACATTATACAGGCATTGATCTTCTACGATTGACTATGAATGATATTCGTCGAATATGTAATAGTGATGATTCTATTAGTATTCGTCTTTATAATCAATTACATGAAACTGTTGTAGCACCATTAAAAATTCTTTATGTTAAAACTACCAATACAGATCTTTATTCCGCTATTTATTTACATACATTAACTAGACATGAATTAGAAGAAAAACTTTTCGAATTAATTCAACAAACTCATCAAGAAAAATATAATTTAGTACTTGACTTAGATAAGATTAGAATAAAAATAGACAACGATGATGTTGTTAAATATTCTTTACCTGATAAAGGTCAATTTGACTTAAAACTATATCGTTGTGAAATAATTCTTTATTTGATAAGAAATTCTGTGTAGTGAGAAACTTTTTCTTTTCTCTCTAGTCATAATAATATTTAATTGTAATCTAAATTATTCTATTATTGTTTTTATTTTAGATCGACGATTTTTTTTCATTAAAAAAAATTGTTGATAGTGGTGCTGATATTGCTATTGTTGGTGGAGGATTTCTTGGTAGTGAATTAGCATGTGCTTTAGGACATCGAGCAAAAGAACGTGCTAAAAATGGAAAGCCAAGTGGAAAAGTTATTCAACTTATGCCGGAAAAAGGTAAACAAAAGGGTGGTGCCAGACTGGGTGTCCTATCTTGAATTAGAATACTATATACATGATTTTTTAAAGCAATTGATAGCGCATCGAATAGTATGTAAGAACTCAAGTTTTTCTCAAAATTTCGATGTGCTGAAGGTCGATATGCTTCTTGATTGTAATTCTTGAGAAATATGTATATATGATATTCACACATATTGTGATTTCTAATATGTTCTAAGATAAACTTAGACGAATTTTCTTTTCAAATTGCATTCGATAGAGTTATGAGTGTACTTCGACATTTTATAATCAATAGTTTTCATCGTTGTTCTCTTCCTACTTATAACTGGTCCCTTTTCTTAAGTTTGTTTCATTTCATGGCTACTTGATATTCAAAAATTTTCAATCCCATGCTACAGAACAAGAAAGAACCGGCACGAAGCTTTCTCAAAAATTGCACAATATCGAGCTCTACATGTTTTACTAGTAACATCTTTTCAAATACTAGGGACTCATTGTCCACTTGCAAGTTTGTCATCTAGAATAACTTGTATTGCTAAGTAAATAAACCATTGTATTGACGATAGCTTAATAATACTCGACGGTTCCATTACAAAATCTTTATGCATCAATAATCAGCACAGTATCCCTGATGAATTCATATGAATAACTCTTTGATAGACGAAAGACAATTCCTTGGTTTCGAGACTCCTGCAGGGAATACGAGAATATGGAAAAATTTCTTTTTGCAATGAACATAAGATATTTATAGATTCCTCTACAGTTTCATGCATAAATTAAGCTCAGATATTGGAAACAAAGTTAGCATAAGTTTATATTAGAACATCTTAGGAACTACAATGTCTATGTGAGTACCATACATACGTATTTTTCAAGAATTATAGCTGGTAAGTATAAGAACCTTCAGTATATCGAAATTTGAAGAAGACATGATTTCTTATATAATATTTGATCCATTGTCAAGTGCTCTACAAAATCATATACATGGCATTCTAATTCAAGATCTGGTCATCATATCTAGTGATGGTCTTTAGTAAGTGATTTAATTTATTTTGTACTGTTTTATTAGGTAATATTAGTAAAGTATTACCAGAATATTTGAGTAAATGGGCAACAGATCGTGTTCGAGATGGTATTATTTTGTTTTTATTATTTTCATGTTGTGTTCTATAGTTTATTTTAAATAGAGGGTGCTGAAGTATTAACAAATGTTGAACTTGTGAATGCTTCAATTCAAGATGGAAAAGTTAATTTAGCTTATATTGATCCAAAAGCACCACAAAAAACAAGTTATATGACTGCTGACCATGTTCTAGTTGCTGTTGGTATAGAGCCAAATACTGACTTAGCAAAATCAGCTGGTTTAGAAATTGATCCTGATCAAGGTGGTTTTCTAGTTAATGCTGAACTTCAAGCTCGTCATAATGTTTGGGTTGCCGGTGATGCAGCATCTTTTTATGATATTAAATTAGGTCGACGTCGTGTTGAACATTATGATCATGCTATTGTCAGTGGAAAATTAGCTGGAGAAAATATGACAGGTGCTCATAAACCGTATTGGCATCAATCAATGTTTTGGTCTGATTTGGGCCTAAAAGTTGGTTTTGAAGCTATTGGTTTAACTGATTCAGATTTACAAACTGTAGCTGTTTATGCTAAACGACAGCCAGAAGATGAAGAACCACAAGAAGATAGTGAAGGAAATCGAGAACAAAAAGAAGTAGCATCAACAACTAATGAATTAAAACATAAAATACCAGAAACAAAAACATCGACAACTACAATAGATAATAAAAATGATTATAGTAAAGGTGTTGTGTTCTATTTAAAAGAAAATAAAGTTGTTGGCGTTGTTCTTTGGAATGTATTTAATCGAATTCCTATTGCACGAAAGGTAAAATAACAAAATAAAATATTAAATTGAATTTTAAATTTCAATTTTGTTTTAGATAATCAAAGATCAACAAGAAATTACTGATTTTCAGGAACTTGCAAAACTTTTTAATATTCACAAAGATTAGTTTAGTGGATTTTTTTTTGTTTCAATGGTTTGCATTGCTAATAGTCTATATGCCACATGAAATTTCCTCTTTAACTTTAGATTAAATCTAAACTTTTGTGATTTGAAGAAAACAACCATATTATTTCAATTTTTCATGAATTCATTTTCATTTTAATATTCTTCAATTTGACGTGTATCATTTACATGTACAGTGAGACCTGCATTAGTTGAACGCCTTTCATAGGTGAATCGTTCTCATTTTATACAAAATATCGCTCCTGTAAAGCAATTGATTATAAAACATAAAAAGAACTCTGTATTGTACTGACATTGTTGAGTGAGAAGCCATCTTGATCAATTTTCTCAGTAAATATTTTTATTTTACTCTGTTTCGATGAATCGAAATACAAGTTTTGTATTAAATGTTCTGTTCTTTCTTTTTAACTTGAATTATTGATAAAAATAGGAGCTTAGAGTGAAGAAAATTATGAAGTATCAAAAATGATCAATACTTCAATGTTGTATTGGAGAAAATTATTATCTATGATTACAAAATTGTTTTTTGTCGATATCCATTATGAATCACTAGACAAGCGATGGTCGAGTAAAATGTAAGAATATTATAAATATCTGAGCAGAAACACAGCATTAATCATGAATAAACGAAGAAAGAAAAATAAGGAACAAATTACCGAGTAAAAAACAAGCTTGATAAAACCTTGGATTCATAAAACACGCAGAACATAAATATCATATTGCATAATAATAGCACGATAATCAAACTATTT